AAGAGAAATATTTGCTGCAATTCGTCTTTCATCAAACTTTGCTTTCACGATGTGATGATTTTTCACATATTTGATAATTTTCTCTGCATCTTTGACTGTTTTTGTGGCCTCAGTAGTAGAAACTATGTCCTTCACAAGCAAGTTGACTCCATGAGCTTCGCATCCGCTAACCGAGATGTGTGGATATTTCTCCTCGATGATCCTCCACGCTGATTTCATAACAGGAGCGTTGTCGCTAATGAAACTGGTAAATTTTTGTGAGCCAATCTTCTCAATAACTTGTAAGATTGCAGCGACGACTGCTGATGAATTTTGAATGATTCCGAATGTATTTATCGAGGTGTAAAAAAAAGGCTTCTGATTGGGCGCTTTAATACAAAATTCACTATGTGATCGCCTCTTATGTTCGTCCAGCCGTAAAACATCAGTATTAAGTTTGTTTCAGAATTCAATATTTCATTTACAAAAGTAGAACATTTTGTGTATTGTTTGTCGAGCAGAGATCCTGATAAGGCTTTAGCATTCGGGATGACAGATGCGTACGATGGATTGAGCGACTTAACGAAATCCTTAAAGGCCTCCGATTCGACTGAACGAAATGATATACCCGTACGGTAAAAGAAATAAGCAAGCTTCGTCTCGATATCATTTTTGAGCTCTTCATTAATTGGTGGACGTACACGCTGCGTCGGTGAATCAGACATAGACGGAAGTTGCTGAGAATCATTGATTAGATGTGACGATTCATAATTACGCTTAGAAAACAATCTTTTTTTCTCGACACTGGCGTTTGGACATGTTAATCTTTTATGCGCTGCAAGGCGTTCCTTCGACCATTGAACAGTTTTGTTACATGCTAAACAAGTGCCATAACGCTTCTCTCGATCAAGATTTGTCAAATAATTCGAAATTTTGATGTTTTCTATTTTAAACATTTTAAAGGACAAAAATACACGATTTCTTGATTCTAAATCACTTTAACTTGTAGTAAAAAAAAAAAAAGTTTATATCGATTGATTATATGTAGCTCGAACCAAAAAGAAACAGATAAGTAATGAAAAACTTGTAAAAAGTAGATAATTATGCAAAAATAATTTCAGACATTTGATTCAGATAAATTAAATTTTTACTTTCCGTTAGTGTCTGCGCAGATATGCGCATATTTTGTCAGCGCAGATCTGCGCAGACACATTTTCCGAACCCTAAAAATTTAACCAAATGAAATCACTCATTGGTAGCTTGTAATATTAAAGCCTATATGTAACTCTACAAAATAACAGTCCAGTTGAAAAACAATATCACTTTATTTGTTACATTTTCAAACAGATTTATAATATTTAATTGTCATCCTATTTATATAGAATCTTCAAATTTAGATTAAAAAACAACTTTTGCAGAGTTTGTAGAATTACATGGAACACGTAAGCTTGTTCTGTAAAACATCTTTAAAAAATTTTCTTTTTGCAAAGACTTAAATGTTTAATTCTTTATAATTAACAAGTTGGTAAAAAGATGCAGTAATGAGCTTAGATCAACCTCTGCTCCAGCTTAAGATTTACACTTTGCATGTTTGCATTTAAAGTAACTTACAAATAGTCTGGTACAACTGCATATTTTATGATATGATTCATAGAACAGGAGCATAACATTTGACTAGAAAAGTTAAATATTTAAGGATTTTATACACATTCAAAACATATTTTATAATAACAAAAACACATAGCATGACAACTGACTTTTTTCTAATAATTTTATTGTCTTTTCTTCATTACTCTTTTTCCATTAAAATACTTAATATTTAACACTTAATTTGGTTTTTTCAAATCTTTTTTTTTTCAATCAATACAATACAAAAAAATACTACAATCATTTGCATTTTCTTTGATGCCATAATCTACTTTTATTTGATTAACATAATTGACTTCAATACTTTTTATTGCTTGTAATGGCGGTGTTTGTACGTAACTGTACAAAAAATTACTGTTCAAACATCTCAACTTTATTTCTTTTGTTAATTTTTCAAATAGAGTATTAATATCAAGTATCATCTCTTATATATAAGTTAATGTCAGCTGCCAAACATTTTCTAAATCTTCAGATAAGTGTTTAACGGTTTAAGAACAATATTTTATTAGAGTTATGTAATAAAAAATATATCAGTCTCCTCAAATCAAATGTTGAATCAAAACATGAAAAGAAAATCTCCTTCGAGTTCATATTTAGACATGACATGTAAGCTAGTTTTGCAATAATTACAATTTTTTTTTTTAAACTTTAATTTCAACTCTTTATAATTAACATAAATATAAACTTTATTTATAAATCAATTTATAAATAAAGTTCAAGAGCAGTAGTCTGGTAAAACTGCATATAACCTTGGTATTCCAAAGAACTTCATCAGTAGTCTCGTACAACTGCATATAAACTTTGTATTTGAGTATCGTTCAAGGCCAAGGCCATTATATATTTATGAGAAACACATTTATAGATTTTTTCGAATTTACTTTAATACATACATTTTAATAAATTAAAAGCCTTATTAGTGTTAAAAGTCTTTTTAAATAGAGTAACTTGTTACTCTATTTTGAAAAGACTTTTCAATTATTGTTCTAACTATTGTTGATTAACTGATCAACAAGACAATTTATTAGCAGTAGGTCAAATTAAAAAATTAACAAGATGGTCTGCTTACAGTTTTTAAATTAAAATTTAAAGTAAAGTAAGGAAACATTAAAAAGAGTTTATTAACTTTATATTAAAGTTAAGAAATGCTTATATTTCAAATTAGATATAAATAAAATAATACACTTTTCAAGTTATTCATATTATTTAAAGTTAACTTAATCAAAATAATAAATGGACCCCTCTATCTCCCAAAATGACATTGCTTAAAAATAAAGTAGGTAATAAAAGTGCGCCTAAAAATTGAGTACTTGCACCTAAAAATTATTCAATGAAATTTGGAAGGTGCAATCATAAATAAAAAACTTAGTTGAAAGAATAGTGTGGAACAAAATTTGACCACATCTTTGACATAAATTTCATCGCAGAAGTATAGCAAAGATTTTGACAGCAATAAACTCAGCAATAAAGCTATTTAATATATTCATTAACACACAGTAATAAATCTTAAGTGATTTAGTTTCTAAAAATAATCTATGTTGTAAAAATTTTCTAACAAAACCACTCTGCACCATGCAAACTCAAAATACACTTCACAAAATGTGGGACAAAATTTTAGCACAAAACTCAGTTTGGTAAAAAGAGTTTCCACATAGCTAATATATATTTTCATATATAAATATATATATATATATATATATATATATATATATATATATATATATATATATATATATATATATATACATACATACATACAGAGATTTGATTTGAGAGTTTTGGTTTGCACACTATTTTTTTTCCGTATATGCTACTGTAACTTAATTCTGTTTATTCAAATAAAAATCCTATTCTAGTGCAGACTAATTTATGTTGACTTTACGAAATTTATTATTTAAATTCAATCATTAAAGTTGTAATTTTTATTAAATAAATTTGTTTAAATAAAACTTAATGTTAAACGTAAATATTAAAAACCTTTTTAATCAGTTAACAATGCAACATATCAAAATTATTTTCTTTAAATGTTAACTAATAAAATAATTAATCAAATTTACAAACAAATCAAATTAACTGGATTATTAATATAAAAATTATAGCATTATATTTGTACTCACCGTGAAACAAAACTAGACAAAGATTTTGGTTCAGTAATCCATTTTCCTAGAGTTTTTTTGGTTCAGTAATCCGTTTTCCTAGATGAAGGATGCGCAACAATCTCAAAAACCCTGTAAGGTCTTTAATGTCCTGAGATTAGATCCCTGTTCGGATTGGATAAAAAAACTAGTTTCAAAAAGTCCTCAATTTAAAAATTATATCTGCAATATATCATACGCAATTTACTAATATTTTATATACAAGTTCTAAACTCCGGCTAACGAGAAACTATTTTTCGGACCTAGCGCAAGTCAAAATTTTCGTCCAACCGAAACAGGGATCTGTTTTTCTTAATTCATTTAAAACTTCTATAATACTTCTTGATCTGCGAAATGGAACATTATCCATTATCAGTATATGGTCTGGGTTTTGTCGGAAATAATTACACAGGTTATTTTTTTAAATTTTTCACATCTTTCAGCATTATAAGCTCCAGTTCTTAATTCATAAGCAACCACACCAGAAATATTTATTGCACACATCAAACTTCGATTTGTATTTCTGTTTCCGGAAACAATTGAATATGCTTTTTCATTTTTTTGGGAATACCCATATCGTCTTCTCAAATGTTGTTTAAATCCTGTTTCGTCTAAAAAGACCAATTTATCACTAGAAATACGCGAGATACGGCGGGCATATATGGCCCTTTTTTTAATATTTGCTGGGGAATTTCGTTCTTCGGGAACCAATGAAAGCCTTATTCACGTTATATTTGTTTTCCGCAATTTCCTTGAAACTGTTGATTGAGATATTATTATACCTGTTGCTGCATTAACTTCATTTACCATTTCATTTTGTGCCAGTTTATTATTTATTGCTATCGTATTAACCCTCCGTCGGGCGCAACTGATCTAACAGGCACATGCTTCATTCATTTGTAAATTTCTCCACAACGGAGCACATTTAACTCTACAACTTTCTAGTAATTTTCTGTTTTTATAAGACTTACAAAACTCTATTACTAAATTACTTTTCAGATAACAAAAAGAGTATTAATTGACCTGTGTGTTCTGATAGGCTCATTGCGCCCGATTAAGTCATTTAATTTAAGTAGGTGTTTTTAATTTTTTTTTTTCAGAATTGTTTAATTTGCGCATTTTAGACTAGTAGTATTAAACTAAATCTGCGTACTTGATAAAAATAAATAGATAATATTCAAATGGCCTAATATGCACATTACGCCTAATTATGTCATAATTTATTTTTTAAAGAAAAATTTAATGGCGTCTCAATTTGATGAACTTAGGACGTTACTTGAGGAAGAAGTTGAAGACGAACCCGCAGAAATAGACAATTTTACAGAAGAAAGTGATATCGACTCTGAAGATGAAGTTGAGCAATGCATTCTTAATTCATAAACTGAGCAATCCGAAAACGAAATAGAAGAAGATGACACAGAAGAACGAAACTCTTTTATGGGCAATGATAAAAAAACAGAGTGGCTAAATAAACCACTAAAAAAAAATCGACGTCAAAAGTCACACAACATTTGCATTCATCTTCCAGGAGTTATTGAAAATGCAAAAAATGCAAAAACTCCATACAAATGTTGGAATAACTTTTTTACGGACAATATAATTGAACTGATTGTCACATACACAAATATTTATATTAACTCTGTAAACAATAGGTTTGTGCGATAGAGAGATATTACATTCACTGACGCAATTAAGGTAAAAGCATTTATCGGGCTATTGTATTTAGCAGGAGTATATAGAGCAAACCGAATGAGTTTGGAAGATCTTTGGGAGAAAGAAGGTGATGGAATTGAAAAATTCAGTCTTGTTGTGAGTCTCAAACGGTTTAACACACTTATTTGTTGTCTTCGTTTTGATGATCGAAGAACTCGAAACCAAAGAAAAGAAAACGACCGCCTTGCTCCAGTTCGAATAATTTTTGAAAAATTTGTTGATAACTGTCAGAAAAGTTTTAGTCCAGGGGAAAATCTTACTATTGATGAAATGCTTCCTGGATTTCGTGGTAGATGTCAGTTTCGGCAATACATATCCTCAAAACCAAACAAATACGGTATAAAACTTTATAGTCGAGTTGATGCAAGAATGTTTTATACTGTCAAAATGGAAATTTATGCTGGGCAACAACCACAAGGCTCTTTTTGTTATAGCAACAAACCAAGTGATGTGGTGATGAGAATAGCTGAACCTTTCTTTGGATCTGGTCGAAATATAACAGTAGATAATTGGTTTACTAGCTTCGATCTCATAGATAAATTAAAAACTATAAAGCTTTCATATGTCGGCACTGTCAGAAAAAACAAAAAACAGTTGCCAATTGCATTTATAAATGTCAAAGGTAGAAAAGCAAAAACAAGCTTGTTTGGTTTTAATAATGATAAAGTTTTGGTCACCTACATCCCGCGCGAAAGAAAGAACGTCATTCTAGTTTCAAGTTTGCACGATGATGATGTCATTGACCCTCAATCTGGAGAGCAAATGAAACCGGAAATAATTACTTTTTACAATCTTACTAAGTGTGGAGTTGATGTAGCAGATCAGATGTGTGCTTCTTAGAACGTGAGCCGAAACACCAGACGGTGGCCTATGGTAATTTTCTATACAATACTTAATGTTGCAGGCATCAATTCACAAGTAATTTACATTGGGAATAACCTTGAAAAAAAAAGGAGAAGGTTATTTCTAAAAGAGTTGTCACATGGATTGGTGTTAGAACACCTACAGAGAAGAAGCATGAACACAGTTGGAATACCTAATAGTCTACATATTAGGATGCAAAGATTCCGTCCAAGAATTGATCAAGAAAAATCACAATCTCCTCCAACTTCTAAAAGACGTGTCACGTGTACTTTAGAAACGGGCGTAAGAAGGTTGTCTCGATACGAGTGTCGTAAATGCAACCAATCTCTTTGCATGAGTCATCAGGTTTTAGTCTGTCAAACATGCTTTTCTTTGTGCGAATGCTTCAATTTAAGTCAACATGAAATATCTAATTTAGAATAAATATGATTTAAGTAACATTATTGTGACTTACAAATAGATTTTTTTGAAAAGTGTTGATGTTTAGAATTAATAATGTATATGCCCGGTGGGAAGCGAGCTAACGATTAGCTAGGTTTATAGCGATTTTCGAGCGATTTTTTTTTTCTTATTTAATTCTTTCCCTAAGTCTTTAACATCATTAAAAATTTGATTTTTAGTGTTGGATCTATTATAATTATGAAAATAATTGAATTTTAAACATTGCGATATTGTAACGATACATCGCTAGCTATATATCGGAGTTTTTTAGTCAGCGATTTTAATACGATATGACGCTAGCTACATATCGCATTTGTTTAGCTGGCAACTAGATAGCGATATATCTATAGCTATTCGATAACTACATATCGCAGCTTCTTAGCTATCGGTTTAATTACGATTAATCGCTAGTTACGTATCGTAGCTTTGTAGCTAGCTACAAGGTAGCCAAAAATCGATAGCTAGTTGATAGCTACATAACGCAGTATTATAGACAGCGATTTTATTACGATATGACGCTAGCTACATATCGCATTTATTTAGCTGGCAACTAGATAGCGATGTATCTATAGCTATTCGATAGCTACATATCACAGCTTCTTAGCTATCGATTTAATTACGATTAATCGCTAGTTACGTATCGTAGCTTTGTAGCTAGTTACAAAATAGCCACAAATTGATAGCTAGTTGATAGCTACATATCGCAGTTTTTAGATAGCGATTTTATTACGATTTATCACTAGTTCCATATTGTAGCTTTGTAGCTAGCTAAAAGTTAGCGACAAATCGATAGCTACTTGCTAGCTATATAATGCAGTTTTATTAACAACGATTTTGTTACGATTTATCGCTAGTTTCATATTTGTAAGCCTTTTTAGCTAGCTACAAGGTCGCCATAAATAATGCTAATAATAATTGAACTTTAAAAGTTAAGATTTTATTACGATATGTCGACAGCTACACATCACAGCTTTTAAGCAATCGATTTGAATGCAAAATGTCGATAGCTGCATATAGTTGTGATTTAGCTAGCTAGAAGGTAACGAAAATTCTTTAGCTACAAATTAGGGCTTATAAGCTATCTATATTTTAGCACGAAATGTCGATAGTTTTTTAAGCAGTTGTAGTTTATGCGCACTGTTACAGACGTATGGAAATAAAATTTTGGTCAGATGGTAGATAAGCGTAGTAAGTTTTAACTATAAAAAATAATATTTTATTTAGTAAAGATTAACTATGAATAATAATATTGTATTTAGTAAATTAAAAACATCGATGGTGTTTTTAATTTACTAAATACAATATTATTATTTATAATTAAACTTAGATGGTGTTTTTAATTTACTAAATACAATCCCGTCATATATATATATATATATATATATATATATATATATATATATATATATATATATATATATATATATATATATATATATATATATATATACATATATATATACATATATATATGAATATATATATATACATATATATATATATATATATATATATATATATATATATATATATATATATATATATATATATACATATATATAAATATATATATATATGTATATATGTATATAATTTTAATGCAAGACCGGAATTTTTTTATTTATTTTTATTTTATTATTTGATAGACTGACTGCCCAAACCAAACCTTCAGTCGATGTAGCAGCACTCCTTTGCGAGTCAGGCTATTTGTCAGTCAGGCTATAAGGTAGTCGATGTAGCAACACTCGCACATGATTTACACTAAAAAAATAAAAACAAAAACATTTTATTTAAAAAATAAAATAAAAACATTGTTTATATTTTTAAAAACATTCTTAATGTTTTTAAAGACATTCTGGTCAATTAAATTTGCGTTTTTGCGGTTTTTTTAAAAAATAATTAAGTTAATGGTTTTAACTTTATGCCAACACGGAAATGTTAGATGAATGTCAAAAGTAATTAAAAGTGACGTAACTTGTTGTCAAAAGAATCATTTTTAACCTTCCGTACTGTCAAAGCCAACAATTTATAGAACTCTCGCTCTCGCTCTCTCTCTCTCTCTCTCTCTCTCTCTCTCTCTCTCTTATATATATATATATATATATATATATATATAGCTATATCTGTAAAAAAAAATTAAAAAACTATATAAACTTTAATTTTTATAATACAGTTGGGTTATTTCTATATTATAATAAAGTTTATTTTTCATTTAAAAAATCTAAATACTTTTGTTTTCTCGATTAAAAACGCATTAACGCGTGTCATGAAATTGCTGTCTAGAAGTTTTAATTAACATACTTTAGTATACCGCATTACGCAATTTAGTATACCGCATTACCAGTTATGCAACTAATGATTTTTGGCAATATTTTACTAACGACTTAATTTGTCATATTGAAATTTACTATACATAACCAACAATTTTATCGATATTGCTTTTTTCGCAGTATCACTCTACTATTCATATTGTTTTAGAAAATATCAATATTGATATCAAAAATGGCATGTAAAAGATCTAAAGATAAACCTTCAGAATGCAACAGCTTTCTTCAAAGCTCTAAACGGATGGGCCAAGTTGCAACGGTAATTACATTTCATTTATTTGATCTATATGTAGGACTAATAATTTAACTCGCATTTTCCTCTTTTACTTTAGTTTTTATAATGTTACCGTAAACCGTTACTTTGAGCGTTTTTGAGGGTTACTTCGAGCGTTACTTTGTTGCTGACCTTTACGAGGGTTACTTTGAGCGTTTTTGAGATATTTTTACTTGCTTTTTCCTCACTATAGGCAATATTTAAAATTTAACAAAATGAATATAGGGGCTAAGGTTGATTCATACATAATTCAAATTCAAAATATTATTTAAATAATATTAATTTAAACAGTTTAATATTAATTTAAACAGTCATTTAAAGTTCTTTTTAAATCATTTTCTTGTTATACGATATTTATGTTTTATAAAATGAGTTTCTAAAATCATTTTATTAATTTTAAAAACCCTTTTTTGCGTTACCATAAAATAAAATGTTTAAAAAAAGTTGTCACAGACTTATTATGTCCAATGTTGGTTGTTTCCTAATTATTAAAATTCCATTTACTATAAAATTTTTGGTATTACATAATTAGTTTTAAATAATAACGGTCTTGTTTAAACGCATCAACGTTTTTGCTTTTGTATAAAACCAAAAACCTTGATGCGATTCTTAAAAACGTTAAATTGCTGAAAACCTCAAAAATCATACAATAAAAAGCTTTAATTTTGTAGTTTAAAAGTTAAACAAATTTTCAACTAATAATAATAAAACGTTAAGTTTGTTATTTTTTAACTGTTGATTTTTAGTTCAAACTAATGAAGTTTGTTTTGTTTTCATTTTACATTTTTTCTAAAAATGTTGAAGTGCCTAATACAGTAGTGTTTGAGCTAGCTAGAAGATTACAAAAAGTCTATAGCTATTTGCTTGCTACATATCGCAGCTTTTTTTGAGCTATCTATATTTTAGCACGGAATGTCGATAGTTTTTTATACAGTTGTAGTTTCGGCCCACCTTTGAATGTGAGCATTTTTAAACTAACTCAATAAATTATTTTTATTGTAATCAATGCACAAAGCATTGCATAAAATGTGTTGAGTATTTAACTTAGGTAAAGTTGAGTTGATTATGAGCTGTATTTATTATGATTTCTTTTGTCCTTTTTTAGTAACATATTTTTCTTTGTCAAGGATTAACCTTTTTTGAATATTTCCAGAATTCTAGAAATTTTTGTAACTTTTTTTTTGCTGGATATCTAAAACATTTTCTATACTTAAAAGTTTAAATACATCTATTTGTTTTATAAGCTTTTTCAATCATCACTCATAAAAAAATAAAGAAAAATTTGAAAAAAAAAAAGAAAAAACTCAGCTATAAGCAAAAATAAGAGGAAAATAAGAGAAAATATTTTCCGGTTATTTTACCCAAACAAATCTCTGGATTTATAAAATATTGCATGGAAGATCTATGATATGTATATTGTATAAAGCTATGATTGTATGTATATTAAAAAAGTTATTTTTTTTAGCATATTCTTACTACAGAATCAGAAGTAGAAATTGATTTTAATACATCAAAAAAAAAAACACAAGAAAACTCCTTTAAGTCAACAAAACAGAAAAAGAAAAAAAAAATATTTTTGAAGAACCTCCTTTGCCATCATTACCATTATGGAAGCCACCAAAGCTTCCTGATTCCGATTCAGTATACATTTTAAAATTTTATGCCATTCGTAAAAATAATATTTTTTTTTGTTTAACTTTTATGGTGTATTTGCTTTTTTTAATTACCATTTTTTGATTAAAAAAATAAAAAAGCATAATATAATCAGAATATTGTGAATGTATTTATAATCATTGTTAATCTTGTTTAGAACTTTTTGTCCCTCTGCCTCAATGGATCAAGTAGATGACTTGCCAGTTACACAGATAGTGTTTCCATCAGAAATGCAGTCTGTTTCACAAGTTCAACCGTTACTGCATTCATCTTCTTCCTTT